ATTATGCACACGTTCGACTCCGATGGTGAGCAAGATGACCAAGAACCGGGTGGTTTGTTCGGCGATCTGCTGGTGGAGGAGGAGGAGGAGGAGCGCGAGAAGCACATCCGGCGCTTCTANATCTCAGTCCAAAATTTTCGGGTCAATTTAACGTGGGAACCCAGGAATAAATTTAACGTGGGAACCCAGGNGAACACACCTACACGCACACGCATGAGAAGGCCGCGCCGACGAGAAGGCCACGCCCAACATGGATGAGGAGTCCATAATAGCCGGGGCTGCTGCCGCAGCATCGAGTTTGCAGAACATTATGCACACGTTCGACTCCGATGGTGAGCAAGATGACCAAGAACCGGGTGGTTTGTTCGGCGATCTGCTGGTGGAGGAGGAGGAGGAGGAGCGCGAGAAGCACATCCGGCGCTTCTACCTCGCCCGGAATACTGGCGGTCAACCTGGGGGAAGTGGGTACTGAAGCTGCGAGAACTGAAGGCTGCGGAGGAGGGACTGGACCCGGAATGTCGACAAGCTGTGCAGTTTGCCGGCACTTTCCGCATCCCTTTCGTGTTGTTCGAGAGCATCATGCAGACCGTCGCCTCCATCTTCCCGTCTTCAACCAGAGACGTCGCGGGCAGGGATTGCCCACTCGTGGAACTCAAGGTGTGTAGGCTGATGTAGGCTGCTGTTGAAGTGAAGTCTGTGTGCTGCTCGGTGAGAAGCTGCAGCGCGCTGTTGTATTTTGGTCGAGAAGTTCACAACCACCGCCCGCTGTATTTTTTTTTTCAGGTGCACGTCAGCGCTGCTGGACAATCGGTGCCCTCTGTCTGGAAGAACAGACCAATGTGTATACTGTTACAAGTATACTGCTGAACTTGCACCTAAGCTCACGGGTGCTACACCCTCGAAGTAGCACGCCCTCGAAGTAGCACACGTGCGCGGAGTTGAGCAGTAAGCAAAGTTCGCAAAAAGGGTTCGTACTCTGCTGTACTTGCCCACTCGTCGTCTCCGCTATGCTCTGCAACTCTGTCGTACACTGCTGCTGCGTGCACAAACGAACCGCGTCGTGTGTGTACCGTAGAGAGGACACTATGTTTGCAACTTTTGACCAGATCCTGTAGATGATAAAGAAGCGCATNTCTCCGCTATGCTCTGCAACTCTGTCGTACACTGCTGCTGCGTGCACAAATGAACCGCGTCGTGTGTGTACCGTAGAGAGGACACTATGTTTCAACATTTGACCAGATGCTGTAAATGATAAAGAAGCGCACTCCCTCTCCAACTACGTCTGCACGGCGCTGCTGGCCGAGGTGTCACACTCGGTGTCGACACTCTCGAAAGTAGCCCGTGCAAGTATGATGGAAGCAGCAGTACTACATTCCACAATGCCGATGGATGTGCGAGGGATTGCACTTTGTGTTCGTTCCATGAGCGAGCCACAGCTTGGTAGAAGAGTATGCATTCCCTTCGCATGGCAGGGGTGTGACGCCCTCGAGGTAACGCACGTGCGCGGAGCTGCAGCAGCAAGCCAAGACCGTCAATTTGGTACGCACACTGCTGCAAAAAATCAACACACCGGCACACCCTACTGCTGTACTTGCCCACTCGTCGTCTCTCGCGAAGCTCTGCAACTCTCTCGATGATACAAGAGTATACATTCGAGCCAGCCACAGCTTGGTAAAAGAGTATGCATTCCCTTCGCATGACAGCTTACAACCCCCCCCCGCCGTCGCCGCCGCCCGCCGTTGTGTGCGCCCCCTGCACGGCTGCATCATTCATAGGTGCTGGGTACTTTGAAGGTGTTGGCGTCGAGATGCTGCTTCCAGGACGTCGCTTCCTTCCCTCTGACTGTTTTCCACCATTTCTGCGAGAAGTTTTCTGAGGGCCTCTGGGACACTTGGGTGAAACTTCCGNCTCTCTGATGAGCCGCACGACCGCAGAGACTTCTTTCCACCATTTCTGCGAGAAGTTTTCCGAGGGCCTCTGGGACACTTGGGTGAAACTCCCGGGCGGGGATGAATTCAAGAAGGTCGAGGAGATCTACCGCAAGTGTGGTTACCCGGGGGCGAGGTGATCTACGGACTGCACCCACTTCTGTTGGCCGGGCTGCCCGTTCTCCGAGAAGAACACCCACACCGGCAAGGAGGGTTACACGTCGCTGGTGGTGGAGTGCACGTGGGGCCATTCCGGCCGCATCATCGCGGCAACCAAGACTTACCCGGGAGCCGAGAACGACAAGACGGTCATCGCACGGGACAAGTTCATCTGGCGAATACGAGATGAGGAGCCGTGGAAGNCCGGCAAGGAGGGCTACACGTCGCTGGTGGTGGAGTGCACGTGCGACCATTCTGGCCGCATCATCGCGGCAACCAAGACTTACCCGGGAGCCGAGAACGACAAGACGGTCATCGCACGGGGCAAGTTCATCTGGCGAATACGAGATGAGGAGCCGTGGAAGAGCTACAAGTTCAAGCTCTACAACGCCGACGGCACGGAGACGGAGTGCACAGGGGCGTGGATCATCGTGGACGGGGGATACCCGAAGGTTAGTTTCGGTTGTTGGTTTTTGGCCACTTTGTTGTTGGTGTGGATGGGCGTGACTAGCCTGGCCCGTACATTGTTGACAACCCCCCGCCCACAGAAGCGTCATATTTGTAAGTGCGAACACTCTGGCGAAACCCCGTCGCGTTCGGTCCTTGCTTTTTCTGTTGCTCCGTTCATGGTCGGGAACCCGTGTGTATTATTCCCCTCCGGGATAAGTTCACACCCGCCAGACAAGAACGTTGCCGTACTCTACTTAGTACGTGTACCCGTACCACTTCGTGTTTTGCATTCCTGTCCATCCTAGCTGTTTTTCATTTTTTGGCTTGGGGAGGGGGTGGGAGCGTAAGTGTCTATTTATTTTGTTGTAGAGGAATTATTTGTTGGGATGCCTTGCCCCTTTGCGCAGTCTTTGGAGACAGATCACGTTTTTTCGACACAAGTTCGCATTAAACCAACGCCCGATAGTCATTTTCGGTCTGCCGTACCACAGATCCCGCTTCTGATCCCACCGATCAAGACGCACAACACCGTCGAGGAGCATGGTTGGAGCAGGCGGTTGGAGAGCATGCGCAAGGACATCGAGTGTTGCTTCGGCAGAGTCAAGGGGCTCTGGAGGCTTTTCGGTGGTGACATCTTGTTCTCCACACGACCGAAGGTTGACAACGCATGGTTCACCGCGTGCATCCTCCACAACATGCTCCACAGCTTCAACCGCCTCGACGAGATGGAGGAGGACGCCGATTGGATGGGGTCGGCAGCGAGGTTGAGGGAGGCGACGGCAGTGGGGGTGGCCATGGACGTGGACGAGGAAAGCGAGCCTCCTACTTCCGGCTTCGAAGAGTTTCGCAGGAAGCTCATCGCGCACTTCGCGTGCGCGTGGGAGAAGAAGGAGATTTTGTGGTTTACGAGGGCGGAGGTTTAGAAAATACGTGGTACATGTAGTCGGTAAGGTATGGGGGGGGAGTTGTTTTGTTTTTTTTGGCGTGTATGGGTTAACCCTATCATATATCTCTTGTATTGTGTGTGTTTTTTTTGGCGTACGTCTGAAAGGGTGAGGGCGTGATTGCATCTGTCACTAGTATTAGCGGCATGTGGCGATCTTCTTTAGGTGTTCTGAAGACGGTCTGTGTCCCGAGCTCCAGCGGTATCAGGGTAAGAGTAAACGTTAGCTCCCGCGTGGTGTTTGATTTTGGGTTGGGGACACCCACCACGCCACCTGCGTCCCTCAGCTTCGTTTGGCGATCATTTTGCTATTGCGCACAGCAGTCACGTAGTCGGACTTTTTTTTCCAACACAGCAGTTGGTTCTCATGGGGGCAGGCTGCCGCGCGTTACTTTTGTTCTTGTTCTATGTCGACCTACGGCCCAATATCGGCGAAGGTTCCCGGCTTGCTGTTTTTCGTTCAGGCAGTCGTTGCTCTGTGTTTGTCCTCCATGTAGATTTAGGCGCTCTTATTTTCAAACAGCTTTTCGTTCGGTTTTCTGTCCATAATTCTGCCCTTCATGCTTTGGGACACTTTAGGTAGTTTTCCGAGGTTTGCTTTTGATCATGCTGATGAAACAGTGGGTTGAGAGTGGGAGCGGCTCTCCTCGGATCCTTGTGCTCGCGGCACAAAGATTGAACAACTCGCTTTCAACCAAATGGAGTCTGGCACTGAAATTTGATATTGGAACTCCCTGTGGCATCCCTAAGCACAAACATGATGGCGTGGAAAGGGTACACCGTACGGTGCACGACGGCAAAGCTATGTGCTTCACCGTAAACTATGACATCGCTCGAGCGGCCGATGCATCGGCCCCACTACACGTGTTTTTCGAGAAATATAATTTTTTTCTGCCAGTATCACAGATACAGCGCGAATACCGCATCGTTGCTACCTCACTTTGGTAGACGTCGAAGCTTCCCAGACCCAAATCTTAGCAACCACAATCACGTAGGCGCCTGATGTTCCCAAATGGTAGACCCACGTATGAACCACCAGACAAGAAGCCTTCGCCCTTCGAATCAGTAGTACAACACTTGTCATTCCAGTAGTAATTATGCAAATACTGCTGCGTATGCACAACCTCGAAAAGGCCATGCCCCCTCTCAGAAAAGTGCATCTCCCGGCCAGCTTTTACATGTCACGATGCACCCCCCTCTTACACTCGGCCTTTCGACTCGGTTGATCCTCTCAAACCTTAGACCCATGTTGTTTCCTCCCTGGCAGTTCCATGCCCATAAGCGGTACCCCCCCCACAACAAGTTAGTGCCGTGTTTATGCATTCAGATCAACCTTTCAAACTTGAAGATAAACACATGAGCGACCTGGTATAACGACGGTAAGTCCTCTATTCTTACAGACATGGTGTTAAAAGAACCCCCCCACCCCACCCTTCCCCCCTCCCTGCATGTTGGTCACGCGCGAAAGAGTTGGTATTCTATTGCGCTTTTTGTTCAAAAAAACACCGAGATAATGAACAAGCAACCGCCCTTCTTTGAACAATGATCACATGCCAACACGCAACAACCGTAATGGGATAACTCAAACTCGATTAGCAAGAACACGAGCTCCGCCCGGTTCTCTGTCTCGTCCCCCAGACGCAGCACAATTTTTTTCTCGAGAGCCTTGATCTTGTTCTCACGCTTGATGCCCACAGCCTCCGCCTCCTTGAGCTCGACCATCCTCTTCATGTCCGCGCCTATGGTCTCGACGTGTGTGTTCGCAGCCTCAAAGGCGGCCAGGCCCTTCTTCGTCTCAAGGGGTTCCTTCCGGGCTTCTTGAAGTTCCTTTTCGGCCGCTGCTTTCATCTCCTGCTCCTTCTCTCGCTTGATTGCGGCGAAGTGTTGGCGGCGGCTCAAAGCGTCGCCGTTGGGGTTGAGGCGAGACATCACCGCGGGGCTGCACACGGGGTTTTCAGAGTCCACGGTGACGTCCGCGCCCTTCCGCTTTTTGGACGGCCCGTCCGAAGAGTCGAGGTGCTTCCACTCCGACGGGGCCTGACCGCTCCACGGGCTGTACGCCGCTGTGAGAAGCAGGAAGGGGAAGACCCACCACTCAGGCACCTCCTCGCCCACGTGCTCGCCCTCCTCCCTGCCCTTATCCTGCTCTCGCTCTTGCTCCCGGCGGATGTTGGCGGCGGCGGCGGCGGCGGCGGCGGCGGCCAACGACATCGACGTACTTCCCGGTTCCTGGCGGGACCTCCGTCTCAGCCAACGCCGCTTGCGCCGCCGGTCCCTGATCTGCAGGTGGACTCTCTGCTCTGTCAACGCTCTCCCCGGCGCCCGCCCCGGTAGCGGGGGAGCCGGCTGGGGAGCCGGCGGCGTCGACGCTCCCCGCCGCCCCCCGAGAGAGGGAAGCCGCCAACTCAGCGTCTGCCTCGTCCGATCTAGCCTTGTCCCGCTTGAGAGGGAAATACGCTGCGCTGAGAATCCAACTTGCCAGCTAAACTTACGTGTCAAGCCAGAGCCACACTTTCGTGTTTTCGGCCTTGTAGCTCTTGAACTTGGTCAGGACGGTCGACGGTTTCTCCATGAAGGTCTTCGCCTTGGAGGTGCCTGCGATACATTTCAAACGGCAACAGCGCGTGTGGGAGCGAGAGGAAGTCCGCTAATTGTGTGCATGTTTGGAGGCGGAGCAGCACCTTGTCTCGTGGTGAACGTGTCGTCAACGTGTGCCCTCTTGCCTATGATTCAGGCATGGCAGCGAATTCGTTCGGGGCTGGAATGTCTATACAAGCAGAGGTGTCGTCGACAAATAGTGCTGTTTCCGCTGCTGCTGCTGCTACTGCTACTGCTACTGCTGCTGCTGCTGCTGCTGCTGCTGCTGCGGGTGGTGTCGGTGTGTGTCTGTCTGCGTCTCCACCCACAAACAAATCGTAGACGTCCCGGAGACTCATGGCTTAGACTTCCCCGTTTTCAGAGAGTAACGCCCAGACATCTAACACGCATCGACCGCGAGCAATAAACCACAGTGCTTGCGAATACTACTGCTGTTGCCAGCAAACTTTCGCGAATACCACTACTGCTGTTGCCAGCAAAACGAACGTTGACTCCAACCCGTGTTGCAAAAGGTGGCTAGAACTATCCATAATCCTCAACATAGCAGGTGGCAGGTGGATCGCTGGTACTGCCACTCACGAACACCACACGTGGTGCACCTGCAACCGCTTGATCGAAATTATCTACCCTCCTCTTCAGATACCATATGCTCGTCGTACATGCCAAAATGCCAGCTCCGGTCCAATCGACCTCTCCCACAGCACCTGTATTTCTCATTCGGTGGACAGAAAAGGCCCGCAAGTGCGTCCTTTCACACGCATGGCATGCCTACTCTACTGCTGTGTTCGTGAGTACGTCTGCATCAAATTCAAAATTAAAAAAGCCGTTGTAACTATTTGCTACATTCCACATGATGGTCGGGCGTGCCGTCACACGACCAGCACAACACAACATGAGTCTTAGGTACGTGTTACGAATTGATGTAGCCACATTAGATACACACCTGAACCAAGGGTCGTGTAGTACGCCATGTCCTTCCACTTGTGAGGCATCTGCAGCGGCCCGTCCATGGTGCTCAGGGCGTGCTCGATCAGCTTGATAAAACCAGGCACCGCGATCTCTTGCATGCACTTTGACGCTGCCAGGTTTCGCTGTGCTGCAGACATCTTGTCTGCCTCCTTGACTGCTAGAGCAGAGTGGACGAGTGGGATCGACTGAAGTATCTTGAGGGCAGGCTGGGTCATGGTCTTGTTGCCGTAGGTGCCGCAGAACTTCCGTAAGGCGAACATGAAGTCCTCCGAGCGATCGATGGGAAGCATGGGCGCCTTCTGTGATTTGCGGGATGCTGCTGTGTCGAACTCGGAGACCACCGGGGTGTGTGCGTGGCGTGTGCGTGGTGTGGCTTGTGTCTGGCGTGTGTATGTGTGTGGGCGTGGAAAGTGATAACTGTGTGCGCTAGCTGGTGTGCGCGTGTTGCTCGTGAGAGAAGGGGGCCCCGTGCCGCGTGCTTTTTGAAAACGAACCAAAACGCCTTTGAAGCTCACAGTCCCGCCGATAATTTTTTTCTCGTTCCCATACTGTATCAGCAGTACTCAAATTTTCCTCTGACATATATTCGCACGCAAATGTTTGGAAACATTTGAAGATATTTTCCAAAGATTTGGTGACCATGAACATGGGTTTAAAAGTAAGAAATGTGTCACGACACGTCGACCATCCTGCAAGTATATATATATATATATAAAGCATGAGGAGTTTGCGGGTGAAGCGACAAAACGAAAAAGCCCTGTGTCCTTGCAGGTGGCAGATTGCAAAATTTTGAACAAATTGCACGATGATGTGGAGCAGGTATGTGTGTTTAGGATGGACTAAGCACGGCTTTTGGCACGAGGAATGAATCGTGCATTCCGTGTTAGTGCGAACGTGGCATTGGTAATTAATGGAAGATAATGTTTCGTGTGCATGCTCTTCCCAGAGGATGCACGAACACGCACACGGATCGACAGCTCTTGTCACCACAAGAAGAGTGAATGATGTTGTCGTGTGGGTGTTATTGTTGATATGTGCAGTAGTCCTGATGGCAAACTAAAATTAGTCAGCGCGAAAGAAACTCATTTAGACGAAGTATCGCAAAGACACAGCCCCTTTACGACATAGACTAAGGCTCTCTTGCCGAGAGCGGAACAGTATTTTGAAACAAAAAAAACACTTCAAAGTACAGTCACAGATGGCGAGATGCAACAGCAGTCCAGGGCGAGCGCCTTGTTACTGGAGTCAGACAAAATCGCCAACCATGTACAAAGAACAGGCTTGTTGTTGCTGGAAGGACTGAAGCGTAACACGCACGTCCAACGGCCGAAGGAAGAGGTATGTACAATTTCAAACAGCAGTGAACCCACATTTCTGTAGGGCGACGGAATCTGGGCAGCATGATCATCAGGCGATCGATCAATTTCACACGGGATTGCAAGCCAACAATGTAGTGAATGTTTCCGCCTGTAACAACTGAGTTTCTCAACGGTTACCACCACTTCAGACGACAGTACGCCATGTTGTTGCAGAATGACGTGCGGTGATGACAAAAACTCGCAAGTTGTTCCGTTCACTCTGAAATCAAAAGTGTAATGACACGCGAGATCCAGCGAATACAGTAGTGTATACAACATGAAGTTTGTAGTGAACACGTTCTCTGGTCTACTTTCTTTGTGGTTGAAAAGGTGCTGAGGAAGTCACTGCTGATTTCTAATCTAGCGGCGGGCGGGGGATGCCATACCTGCTCGTTCTCCGGGCTACCCTGCAAGAACTCCAGCTGTTGTGAAGGTGCCGAATGTTCACGGTCGATCTCCAATCCAACCGAGGGAGGGACATCTCGTGAATATCCTCGTCCCGCGACCAACGCGCCAGTCGTCGCGAACACGAACTGAGCAAATAGCCGGGCCTTCGTCACCCTCATGGCCGGCTCCAGGGCAGCTCAATAGTGTACTGACAGAATGGCGACGGCCCTGCAATGAAGCCGATGCGCGTATACGCATGGATCGAACATTGGGTTGCGGCACAAACACCAAACCACAACCACCATGTGTTTGTGGGTCCTAGACTATACAACCTACCAGCACAGGCCGCGCACAAGTAACCCCAAAGTCGCATCTCATTACACTTGTGAGACAACATTCAAAAAGGGTCTCGAAAATAACGGCAGTGACGTGTATTATTGTAAATGTATTGGAGGAATAGTGCCGTTGGGAAGTTTGTGTGGTATTGGAAGATGGAGATGGCACACTTTTTTTCTTTTTCACCTTTGGATCAGTGCCCACAGCCTTTGTGCCGTTTGCTCCTACCCATGGACACACAGATGATTTCCTCTCCCCTCTCCCTGGCGCCGCCTATACCCACGCCTCCTGCGGTGCTTGGCCTTCGACTTTTTAAGCGAGGAGAGGCCAGTCTTACTTTCCCTCGGTATACACACGAAGTAGGCGATTTCCGCCCAGGCCAGGAACCCAGGAACGGAAGCGAGAGAAAAACTCATTCCAGCAAGAAAGCTCCCTTACGCCGAGATTCGAACTCCTGACTGGCCACCACAAGGTCTTCGAGGATACCAACTAGACTACCGGGGGCGGCCGGCCCTTGTGCCAAAGTGCAAGTCACGTCTACCGACCCTTGGAGGTATGAAACTCTCAGAGGAGGGGTGATCGTACCTCCTTATATGAACGAGAACACGAACGAGAATATATGAGGACATTCCGTTTTTAAGCAGCAAGAATGACGGGACACAGCAGTACAGCAGTGGTGGGGTTCTGTTACGGGATGCCTGAAACTACGTGTTCTGCATACATCGGCCAATCGCGAGGCATCGCAGCTGCACTCCGACCAAGAGAAGCTTAACAAACCGGCAAGAGGTATGGCCTTACGGCCTGAACCCCCGAACAGACCTGATGTGCCTGGAATTACACCGACCACCAACCACCAATCAGTTCCATCCTGACCCTGTCTGACCAGCCTGATACCTGACAATGCTGCTGAAGGCTGCTGAAGGGTCGCAAAACCGGACTCGTCACGCTGCTAAAGCTACTCTCCGCTTTTCAACGTGCAACGACTCTGTGTGGTTTAAGTTGGGCGGCAGGGGGGGCAAGAGAGGTGTACGCGCACCGCGGTGTGGAGAAAGAAACAAAGAAGTCTCGTCTGATGCTTGTAATTTTGTGTGTTCACAACCAGATCTACAGTACATAGTCTAGTCTACATGGTGAAACTAGCTATACATCAAAGTCTGCAAGGGAAAGTGTTCCCACATATGAACATAACGCCGATTCATTTCAAGTCTGCACACACCTTGTACAAGGTGTGGGTAGTTCGTGTAGAACGCACAACAAATACATACCACAGAAAGACTGCGCGTTCCAGACCCAACCACAGTCAAAAAGGGGGATGCGTTCAAGTCTAGACAGCGAGCGGAAGAAAAACGGTCTACAATACAACCAACTGCTGTGTTTACAGAGAAGTACATGTAAACATGGTACCTGGGTCTGTCTGACTCTTTTCAAGGAGGTGAAGCCGTTGGCGGTAGCTTGCTCCTAGAGATAGATGAAGGTTCTGTCGTTGACGCTTGTTGTGCGTTCCTCCGCAACTGGTGCCGAAGTGCAAACAAATACGGCTGTGGGTTTGCGCTGTTTAAAAGGTTTCCAATTCAAATGCTTTGAGGGTGAACGATTCCCCAAAAAGAAATGCCATGTGATTTCGAAAAATGGAGGCAAGGCTGGTGGGACGACTGACACCCAATTTTTGTGCACACAACGCGCACAAAGTCGAAGTAAGCGGAGTCAAATCGGAGAGCACAACAGGAAAATCCGCGGACATCGGCCGGTACGCCGGCATGAATGCAGTGGAGGTGGTAGCAGACGTGGGAAGCATGCTTTCACCTCGGGTCCCACTACACAAGGCCAGCAACTCAGGTCGCTCCACGCAAAGCGTATCCGCCATATAAATCACTTCATGGACCGCCGATGGAGACGAATTAGCTTTTGAGGGACGGCGAACGCACGAACACCAAAACATCGCGATGGCCTCCGAGGCGCGTATCCTTCGCAAGGTCCCAGTCCCGCGGGCGCTTCGCAAAAGCATCACAAGCCAGCATCTCTACAGGAGAGGAAGCAGAGAAGATACTGAGTCTAGATTCTCGTGGGTGGCGACACCAAATAGCAAGCAACCCAGTGGTTGTGAAGAAAGCGTGCCAACACACAGCAGTTAGTTGTTGTTGTTATTGTTTCTCACATTAGCTCTATTGTCCACAAAAAATGGGGAGCCCGTGGTCTCAAAAACCAGCACATACGACGCCGCGGGGAAACAAAACTTCTCACATTTAACGACATGCCATTACACAATAAGGTAAATAACTATGTTCTGCTGCGCCGCACATGCCCTNAGATAATGTTCTCCCGTGCCCTTGTCACATTGAACGACATGCTATTACACAACAAGGTAAATATGTTCTCCCGCGCCGCACATGCCCTCATACATCACACACAATAAATGAGTTGACGAAAATATACACACCCCGAGACGCGCTTGCTCCGCAACCACATAAGGGTGCCATAATCCGACAAACCGAGTTCCCCAAAATGTTCCGTCTACAACTTCCCAACGTAACATACAGATAGATACACAAGATGTCTACCAAACTGCCTTGTTGAGCCTGGTACCCACAGGGGAGATATCGTTGTATGCTGTCTGGGAAACCGTAGACATAAAGGTAGCCTTTCGCCCACGCTATGGATTCATTGCTAACCTATCTTAGACTTTCTTCTGTTGTTGTTGTTGTTGTTGTTGTTGTTGTTGTTGTTGTTGTTGTTGTTGTTGTTGTTGTTGTTGTTGTTGTCTTCACATTAAACCGTATGTCAATTGC